GCAGCTCGCAGCCCGTGTCGGGAGTGGAGGGCAGAGGCCCTGGTGAGGATGGCCTTGGTCTGCCAGCCAACTCTCCTGACTTCAGGGTCATGGTCGGTGAGGAGATCGATCAACCCTGGAAGGAAGGGAGGGAGGTCAGCAGGTGAGGGACGGCACACGGACTCCCCAGGACCCTCACTTCCAAGGCCCAGTCCCTCTTGGGCTGACGTACAGGCCTCGTAGGTGCAGGTGTTCCTCTCAGTGCAGATGTTACTGTTCTTGTGAAGCACATGACCTGGAGAGAAGGAAGGCGGCAGAGAAGAGAGGGACCATCTCCCTGAGCAAGGAGCATTCTGGAGCTCCCTGAACCCAACGCTACACTCAAGGGAGGGGGATGCCCAGGAGGAGGCCGGGGAGGGGGCTTTGCAGGCGGAAGGAAGGGAAAAATGGGGAGGAAGAGGAATCTGATCTTTGCTCTCCCCTCAAAAGGCTCCAGGTTCCAGAATGAGCTTCAAGAGCCTTCTGCATCTCCCAAGGTGGAGGAAGAGAGGTCTTCTGGGGAAGAGGGCACTCCTGCTGCCCCAGAGACTGAGCTGGAAGCCAGGAATGGGCACAAAGGGGGCCAAGGCCTCCCCCCCGGTCCCTTACCGAGCAACATGGCTGCTGCCTTCTTTGCCGAGGGAAGCTTGCTCTTGAAAAAAGGCAGGCAGCCATACACCTGCTCCTCCAACTCACTCCTGGAGCTGCAGTGCTGGATCTGGAGGAGAGAGAGATGAGGCAAAAAGAGGGGTTCCCTATGCCTGCTGGGCATAAGGCCCCCCGAATCCCCGGCTTCAGTACGGGCGCTGACCAGGTGCTTGGAGATCTTGTGAAGCAGCTGCTGCAGGATGAAGGTGTCTCCCGCCAGAACGCTGTCCTCCAGGTGCCATTGCAGGACCTCCGCCATCTCCCTGAGGGTCTCCCTCGCAGTCTTCAAAGAGGAGGAGGAGATGGAGGGAAGGAGTCAGGAACACTTGGAGGGCAAGTGACCCCTTCCTCGCTCCCTTGACCCCTGTCCTGAGCTCCAAGGCCTTGAGAGGCCAGCGCTGGGCCTCCCGCCCACCTTGGCCACCTCCTCGTCCTCATCCTCCACGTGAACCAGCACCGTCAGGAGGTCGTGGATGGTCTGGCCCTCCTGATGTTGATGTTCTGGGCGCCAGAGAAGATGCTGGAAACATTCCAGGGCTGCCTTCCGGATCTTGGCCACCTCCTGAAAAAACGAAGGAAAATAAAACTTTCTTTCTCCCCCTTTCTTTGTGTGAAGCCCCTTCTCGGGGCTTGGGAAGAGGGGGAAATCTACACCCTTCCCAAAACGGACCAGGGGCCAAGACTCACCTGGTGGAAGAGAGGGCAGCATCCGGCAGCCAGGTGAGCCTTCGTAGGGTCCTGGTCTTCCTTGTGCAGCAGGGGCCCCAGCTGGCCAGCCAGGCCCAGGAACTCCAGCACGACGTCGATGTGGGGGGATTGCAGCCCCCCGAGGACCCCGTGCAGGAGCTCCTGGAGGCTCATGGTCTGCAACGAGAGAGAGAAAGGAGGGCCATGCCTAAGAGGTCCCCTGCAGAGAACGCCTAGACACAGGCCTCCCCCCTGGTTGGGGAAGGGACCTCCTAGGACCTTCTGTATCACAGTGGTTCTTCCTACAACCGCAAGAGCAAGGCCTGCTGGATCTAGGCTCAGCTGGCCTTCTGTGTGGTGTGTGGAGCTGGGGCTGTGCCTGACTTACCTCCCTGTAGGTCTTGCACAGAAGGAGAAGGCCCTGCCTGCTCTGATGTTGTACGGCCAGGCTGTGATGTTGGAGCCAGGTCGTGAGCAGTGCCCAGGTCTTCTCCGGGGAGTGTGGGCACCTGCCAATGTGCAGCAGCTGGAAGAGAAAAGGAGAAGTGTGAAGAGCTGGAGCCAGGAAGGGAAGCACTGCCTCTCCTCTCCTCGACTCCCCCGCCCTATCCTAAGGCCCCCTTCCAGCCTAAAACCCAGGTTGACCAACCCTCCTCACCTGAATGTAGAAGGCCAGCACCCCGGCCGAATGCTCCAGCGGTGCTTCTGTTTCCCAAGTGGAACACAGGTGCTGGAGCAGGGAGGAGGAGGACTTGAGGAGGCTCCTGGAAGACAAGAGGGACCCCGTGATGGAAGCCAGCCAGAGAGACCAGGCTGTGCCTCCTCCCCGAACCTCCTCCGGCCCGTGGCTCCTTACTGCAACAGAAAGGCCATTCCCTCAGGGCAGATGCTGAGCTCTTCTAGCATCTCCTTGGAGGTCTCCTAGAAGGACACCCAGGACACCATCTTCAGCAGCACGATGATGATCGCCAGTCCTCTGCAGGAAAATGAAAGAAAAAAGTTTACTTCCCAGTGGAGGCTTTGAGTCCCCTATCTGGCCACCCAAAAGGCCTGGGAGCCCCACTGAGCCTTCCCCTCCCCCCTTACTCTGGAGGAACGTAGGTGCTGCTCCAGTCCCTGCTGGGCGCCTCCAACCCAGGCCTTGTGACCTCGATGTAGTTGGTCACCAAGGCGAGCAGAAGCTCCAGGGACCAAGCCTCCAGGCGAGTGCTGTCCTTGATGTATCTCACGATCTTGACGATAGCCTGCGGAGAGAAAGAAGGAGGGTTACATGCCAGGAGGGCTCCTGCTGAAGGCCAGGAAAGAGGGCCCCCTCTCCTTCCCCAGCCCCCCAAAGACAGGGTGCGGAAGGGGATGTCCTTACTGTGGCCGCATCCAAAGTGGGGCTGCCCTGTTCCTTGCCCTCCTCAGCCA